GGTTCAAGATGTGATCATAACGGTTCAAAACGCTCTGGATGAAGTGGCCTGCTTTGGGGAACGAGTGAAGAAGTGAGAAACTTGGATGTTACTCATACCTTTGAAGCGTCCTTTTTAGTAGCATTGATTTTGTGTCATGAATGTATGGTTATATATTCATTCTCATGCTGTTCCTCTCTTTCAGCACGTTTAACTGGTCTGTGCCTTTTCTGAGCTGGTTAGCCATAACGGTGCTATGTGCCGGTGCCACGCTAATATACTTTATCCCACTACGATTCATTGTGCTGGTCTGGGGTGAGAAATCCTATTGCTTTCGTTAAACACTTTCCAAATGGTTTACTATTCAGATTATTTCTTAGTTTGTTGAAATGCATAATCTGATTTTGTACACAAGATGTGTTCTTGCATTGTAATGATTTAGGGTATACTATTTTGGAAATTAGTAGGATATGAACATGCATGTCCCACATAGGTATCAATAAATTCATCAAAAAACTTCGGGACCCCTACATCATTGAGAACAATGAGCTGCTGGACTTCCTGTCTAGAGTTCCATCAGATGTCCAGTTGGTAAGTGATCAATGATAACAAGTGACGTATTTTCATTCTTTTGCATGATTCACAAAACAAGGTTGTGCAAAATCTGCTCATCAGGTTCAGTACAAAGATCTCAAACCAGAGAATTCTCAGAGTCCCAGCAAGAAAAGGAGGAACAACCCCGGATAGATCTTGAACTGTGACATTACGTTTCTAAATCAACCGCCTCCAAAGCACCGTTCACGTACAAAACACTGTGAATGTTGCAAAGACTTTCAAAAGGAGATTGTTTTAAAAAGAATGAAATATTTCTAGCATTATTTATGCAAACTTGCACAACTATAATAGCGCAAAACTCAACTGTTCATAAAATGTGCTTTTGATTATTTATAGCTATTCCCATTTTTATTCTGTGTCACTGATTCACAATGTGTCTTGAACATTTTTATTCAAAGAGATTTCTGTGAAGAAAAATGCTGCAAACCAGATTCAAACTTGTGTCGCCCACGTGAGCACCATAGCTCAAAAAACATGTGCCTAACACTTGGTCACAGCTCCAACAGTCAGTTGAGACTATATAACGTAGATTCTGGTGCAAAAATATCAGCCTGAAAATGTCTTTCGTCTGCATAATTGAATGTATTAAATGCAACTGGTCTGACCACAGCGGTTTTTTCTTGAAAACACGCCAAAACTTTACAGTGAACTTTGCACCTTTGAGGTCACTCTTCAAAGCATTTTCCTTAGAAAATAATTTTTATCTACAAGCACATATCATATGGAGAAACTGCATGCTGTGCATCTAAAGCGAAAGAATGTATGTGTGCATGTAAAAAAAAATTATGACTGTAAATATACAATGTGGAAACATTTTTTATGTTGTTCTGGACATGTTTACCCATGACAGGTGTCATATGCTATGATCACTGTTCATATGCTATGATGAATGATGAAATGGTGTTTAATTGTGATATTTGTACATTGTGTTGCTTGTTAACGATTCGTCAATGGTCTATGAGTATGTAACTGTTAAGCGGATATACTCAAGGACATAAATTGTTATTAGTTGGAGAAAAAGAAAAGGCATGAAAAAGGCATGTTTATGCAGGGCTGAAACTCTCTCTGTGATCTTTTGGTTATTTATTTTC